GCTGAGAAATTTTTTTATAAAATTACAAACTATGCTCGTCGTGCCCAATGTCTTTCACCCACCCAAGTAAGCACCTGGGCACGTGAGTGAGATCCTGACAATGAACACGGAAGGGATTAAACCTGAAAATCCTAAACTAAAGAAATGATTAGTTCATACAATTTGTAATATCTAACGGACTATTGTGTTATTTTATTTTGTAATTGCAATGACTTTCAGAAATTATTCAAATTTCAAGAGAATAAAAACAATGAACAATTTGTTAAAAAGATCTGTAGATCTTTGCGACACATTTGCCCAACTTGAAACGACTTAGGGAATTATTTTCCTAAGGAGGTGCGGACGAATTCGTTTCGACATGACAAACTATACATATTTACTTGCGCGACACCGATGTCTTTCATATCAAACGCGAATACAAACCGGAAACGGACAGAACAGAAAACTCACTATCGCTCAAAAATCTTAAGCTCCGTTGCTGGGCACTTCCGGATAAGCCAAAAGAGCCAAGCCATACTTTGTCACGTATTTGGGAATAGTTGGGAAATATTCGTCCAGGTTAGGCACGTGTTACACAATAATCGTACAATTGTACATAGAGTTGCGAATGAAACAATTATATATAGTAAATTCAATGTTGATAGAAATAACCTCAGGTGACTTCTTCATCAAAGCATACTTTCGAAAATGTGAAAAGCACTGTACAAACTTGTTACTTTGATTCAGAAATCTACCTGTCGCGAAGTATTATATCTTCTTGCACATGAGAACTCATACATTTCTCTACAGAAAGAGTTTTTTAATCTATTATAATGCAAATTGAAGTTCATGATTATAAAAATCAATTAAAATCATACTGTTATAAGAGAGAAGATAAGATTAAAAATTATTAATTATTAATTATTATGACAAAATATATTATCAGTAATCCATCTTTCATAGCGAACGAAGTCGGAGGATATCCGTCTTCTCTACTATGAAATTCTCTTCAAACGAAATCATTTTAATAATAATTATTTATAGATATTTTAATTTTCATTCATATACATGTTTTATTTTTGCAAACATCTATATTGAATACACTTTGATTTTGATACAAGTAATCACTATAAATGTGTATATAATTTCACTAATTATTAAAATCGCGATGTGCAAGAAGCCCTATCCTGATCTAACATATAAAAAATGTTACTACTCACGGATATAAGAAATACCCGTGGTCATTATGCTCATCAAAAATTCTACGTATACAACCAGTCACCCGTGCCAATTCGGACCTTTCGTCCTATGACATGATTGAGTGACCGGAGGAACATAAATGCATGCGACTCACGCGACAGATGTGAAGAACGTTATCATACTGCACCGGAGCAAGGAAAGTGAAGACTCTTATCGAGTAGATACCACTGACAATCTCATGGTGGAAGTGGACGCGTGAAAAATTGCTGAAAAAATATAAAACATTTTGTTCCTAGAGATAA